TCCACAAGAAAAACATCACATTCTTGCTTCATCTCATGATCAATTTTAAAAACCTATAGAAAATTTGGTTAAAATCACTTGACACAACATACTTTTCCTCATCAAAAAAATGAACAAATTTTCCAAATCAATCAACCAAATACCTCCAAAAATCATACTCCTTTATGAAAACCTGCACTTTTTTCCTTCTCCTTTTCATTTTCTTGCTAATTTTCTTCTTTGGTGTCCCCCTTTTATTCATCATCTTAATCTTGAAGCCCCAAATGCCGGATTTTTCCCTCAAAACAATACACGTGAAATCATACAAACTCGATGTAAAAAGCCCCGGCCAAAGCCTCATGGTCTCGTCGGCTTTCTCTTTAGATATAATCACATGTAATCCTAACAAGGTTGGATTAAGCTACCACCCTTCGAGATTCCACGTCCTGAGCCAAGGATTAGTAGTGGGATTGATTATAATCCCGGACTTTCATCAGCCCCCATTGAGCAAAAACGTAACCCTCGAGACGCGAGTGTTTGTCGAATGCTTAAACGTTAGCGATATTATTTATAGAAATTCTAAGAAAGATGGCTCGTCAAGAGAAGGCTCGGCTGGCATAAGGATATTAGGCGATGTTAAAGCAGAGGTTCGAGTTTTTCGCGTCACATTGCCTAAGATTAGGGTAATACTTCAATTTCTCGCGCCAAAGATATTCCGTATTTCGGTTAGAAAAGAGAAAAAATAAAAATAAAAATAAAAATCTCATCTTTCATGTTGCATGTAATTAAATCGACATTTGTTCTGTTTTACATAAGCTGCATTGTAATAACACCTATCAAGACTTGAACATTTTTGCAACAGATTGCTTTGGATTGTGAAATAGAAGTTAACGAGTCGAGATTTTCACTGAGTAGTGAAGTTTACGGCATGAAATCGAGTCACGAACGCTTGGCACGTGCGGCTAAACTGTCGATCTTGAATCGATTTCAGGTATTTTTTGTTGTTGTTGTTGTTTTAAGTTTTTTTAACCATAACTTTGCTAATTATCATTATCTTTTTTTGGTTGTGTTATGATTAATTGATTTTCCAGATATCACTTCCATTCAATTCACATACAATCTCCAAGAGATGTTCAGCAGCTCTGTTAGTGTAAGGATAATGAAATCATGTTCAAATGACATTTTTTTCTAACGATCACAAATGAATGTAAAGTGTTTCAATTGAAGTAATAAACATGTTGTCAGCAGATTTTATTTTATTTTATTTATTCTTATTTTTTGTTTTTTATTTTTTTACTTATTTTTTTATTTTTGGGCTTGTGAGTGAAAGGCTTATGTAAATCATATGTACAGATTTCCATTTTATGCAACTGACAAGGATTATTTCTTTAAAATCAGCCAAGTTGTAAAGTCTAATTATGATGATCATGCATCTAAATATTTCCTATTACATTAGAGGTATATAATAAGTGTATTGATAGCCTTTGGATGCTAAAAGCCTAAAATCCACCTTTTTTTTTTTCAACCGATAGATTTCATTACTAGAACACATAATTACAATCGGCTCACTAACCAGAATAAGGAGGCCTACCGAAAAGGTAGCCTAGATACACAAACAAAACACTACAAAACACACAAGACTCCCCAACGGAAAAATAAAAAACTTCCCAACGAAAGAATAGACACTCCAAAACGGAGAAAAAACACAAATGCACACTTACGACATAACACAAACCAAGCATCAAAAAAAGAATATGAAAAAGCTACCAAAAAAGCCCTTCCCACAACAGCCGAAACAAAACCGACGCCGACATCACGAGCAACCACCCACAAAGATAGAAACCCGATCCATGTCACGAAACCAGAAACTGCAGAATAAACGCCTAACTAGAATCCAGACAAAAAAACCTTGCCCCCGCCAAGTAGAGAACCCGAGACCCGCAACCGGAGATCAACAACAAACTCCACCATTCTAGCTCCGACAACCCGGGCCCAGGCCACGAGACCCAACCCGGAATCCGCCGATGCAACCGAAAGCCCCAAAAGCAGAAAAATCGGAGAAAGAAGGGGAGCGAAACGGCCCAATATCAGCCTGACCAGCTCATAAGAGACGATCGAAGCCACAACCCTTAATTTCAGACTCGCCGGAAACTCGCCGTCGGGAAACTGCCGGCCAAGACCCTCCATGGCAACCTAATAGGAGGCGAGAACCAGATTGGCCGAATCCGTCGATTCACCCGGGAAGAGGGAGCCGCAGTCCAAAGAGCCTTCAGTAGCTGGCCGCACAGCCCGGGGGTGACCGCTGCTGAGATGGCCCGGCGAGGCCCTGCTGGGGAAGGCGAGGTTCCCGGCCGATGAGAACGGATTTGGTTGATCGGGGTTTTTTTCTTCTCGGTTCCGCCAAAATCCACCTTCAAATGGTTGTTTGTCATGTAGTGAACTTTATCGAGAAAATGAAAATAAAATGACTATTTAATATAATTACCGAGACTTATGAGAATACAGTGTCCTTAAAACAGATTCGCCCTGTATGAACGTCTGATTCTCAGAATACAACGGAGAAACCGAATCAAATTCGACAAGCTGAAAATTATGCCTGGACGAAAGCACTTAAAAAAATTTGGATAAAAACCATTTAGGAATATTGTGTACAACCATACCACCTATCTACATGTGCACCATAAGTTTAAAGATCAATTCTAATGTTATAATTCTTAAGAATTCATTCAAGTTTAATAATAAAGTTATAAGTTTAAAGAATCAATTATAATGTTATAACTCTCAAGAATTAATTCAACCATTACCTTTTAATTTCATCCACTCAATTTGTCTTTTCAACATGTCAAACATAAGAATTATTATGTGTGTGATAATGATAAATCTTCATTAAACTTTAATGACTGTGATTGATTCAGATGTGGATTCTTTTATACGTACTTTAACATAATTTTTAATAATTTTATATACCTATGTTTATTTACTATATTCAAGGAATATCATGTTGATAAACTTGGGCCTATAAAAAGTATAGAAATTTTCTCAATAAACATTCACATGGGCCCATAAATCTTCCGTGGGTCCAAAAAAAAAAAAAAAAAATTATAACTCACTCGTGGACACATGTTAATTAGAGATTTGATATGGATTTTTTTTATAGTTTTGCGTATTTGATTGAGGAGCAATGTTCACCTACCTACGGTGGACACATGTTAATATGACCACCATTTATATGACATACACATATTAGTGATGCATTTTTTTTGAACATATTAACATGTGCCCATCTTAAGTAGGTAAACATTTGCTTGATCGAGAGTTATCTCAATGAAAAAACAAAAAATAAAATAAAAAAGTTTCATACCATGTTTTTTTTTCTTACAATTTATTAATAAACTAAAAAATTTAAAGTAACCAACTATTATATAATTTTCAATCACATCGCTACTATTCATCCACGTAAATAATTCTAATTATCAATATTTTTATCTCAATCTCAAATCTAATATATTATGATATGGTTTCTATATATATTTTTATTTTTCTACCTAATAATTTTTCAAAGATTGATTTTGATTGTGATATTGATTTAATATTTTAATGGCTTGCGATGTTCAAAGATTGTAAGAGCTATCTCGAACAAGACGCTTTACTCGTTACGCTGGAAATATGTAAAAATGGTATTAAAATGATGTAAAAGACTTGAGATATATATACCTAGCTAGTATTTTATTAACATAAACTATATAAAAGTTTTCCTCAGAGATTAATTTTCTTTTTGTAATTTTAGTTATAAATTAAATACATGGGATCAATTTTGTTTTTCTTTCTATAATTGTATGAATGTTTATTGAGAGATGTATTCAATTATTTATTTTGGTTAAATAATATTATTTTAAAGTATTTAAAATTTATAACATTTTTTGGACCAACCATGAACCATATGACTATGTGCAAAATAAGGGATTGATTTTTTACGGCTTAGATCAAATTAAATTTTCTCTTCAATCTTACTTAATATTTTTGTAAATACTTGATAAAATAAACTCAATATAATATTATTGTATCTATTTATATTTTTATTAACGATATAACAATAATGTAAATAATTAAATATGCGCAAAATAATGTATCTAATTAAATTATATTTTTTATGTTAAAATCCTCCCTATATATTATTCCCGAATATGCAAAGCCAACGTGGCTGCTTTTGGTGCTTCGGAATCCTATTTGTCAAAGAATCATGCTTAGTTTTGCCCTAGTATGGGTAACGACCTACAGATTATGTCCTACAGTTACTTATCGTGAGCGTGAAGACCTAGTGTCTTTCTCGCCAGTTAATAGTCAGTTGAGCAACAATTATAGGTAGTATACTTATTTATACGCATTTGTGATATGTTCTATCATATTAGATGTATGCTTAGGTTGTGATGTGTTTTATCATATTAGATGTATGCTTAGGTTGTGATGTGCTTATCATATCAGATGTATGTTTAGTTCGCGATGTTGTAGCTATAGTAAGTCAGTTGAGCAACAATTTATAGTCAGCCAGTCGAGCAACCATTATAGTTAGTCAGTTGAGCAGCAGTTATAGTCAGCCAGTCGAGCAACCATTATAGTTAGTCAGTTGAGCAACAATTTATAGTAAGCCAGTCGAACAACCATTACAGTTAGTCAGTTGAGCAGCAGTTATAGTCAGCCAGTTGAGCAGCCATTATAGCAAGTCAGCTGAACAACAATTACAGGCAGTCAGTTAAGTAGCCGTTATAGATAGTTACCGATTTAAGTATTTATTGGATGAATGTTTAATCCTCGATCCGTTAGTAAAATGTTCATCATCGTATTGTTTCTGCCGACCCAGTAAGTACTTGCATATATGCCGATGTCATGATATGTTATTATATTAGCTGTATATTTTAGTGCCGGTTCTGGCAGAGCATCGTTGATTCATTTATGCTCACGCCCCCCACTAACCATTTTAGGTGACGGTGTTGAGCGTGGAGCGTGAGCCAATGATGTGGTGGTGGTCATAGCAAGGATATTTTTAGTAAACATGTCATGTATATTTTAACATGTTTGAGTTATTATGCTCTGTTGATGCATGCTTACATTTGCTTCCGCACTCAGTATTTCAGTATCTAGAATTTCAGTCTATGCATGCTTAAATCCTGAGACGTTTAGAGTAATTGAATTATACTCGGTTGCATGCCTAGTAGTTTAAAGATATTAAAGATTTAAGATTAAAATTGAGTAGCATCTCACATATTAAAGTTAAAGTATTTTTGAAAATTACTATGAGTTTTCGGAAATTAAATCAGAGCCTTTATTTCATAGCGCGAAAAATTTACTCTGATTTTAGTAAGTCTAGGCGGGGTGTTACAGTGGTGGATGGCATGTGTCACGCTCGCGAGGTCGCGGGTGATGTCTCGCAGCGATTGACTGGGCACCTCGGGTCTACTTTGGCTGGAACTCGCGACGCTGCGGGTGGAGAGTTGCGTCGCGTCGCGTGTGTTGCATGTGTGTGGGTCTCGCGCGGTAGCACTTTCAGGCTCGTGGGACGGCGGTAGAGTCGCGAATACTGGGTTGCCCTAGGGACACTCGCGTGGTCGCGAGACAACTTCTGGTCGCGAGTGCTGGGGGATGCTGGGCCTTGCGCGGCCGGACTCACGTGCTCACGGGCTTGCACCCGGGTCGCGAGTGCTCGGGTTGTCTCATTGGTGTCTCGTGACCTCGCGGAAAGGCATCCAGGTAGCGAGTGCTTGGGTGCGAGTGGTGCGCGGGTAAGGACTCGGAAATGGCCAAGGATGGCTCGAGAAGGCTTAGATGGTTCGGATAGCTTGGACAACTCGGATGGTTCATCTTTCCAAGCTTCGCAATATGGACCCAATCAATATCAAAAGGACAAGAAAAATATGCTGGACCACAAAAACACGCAACGAGCACAAAAATACACAACACACGATAAAATGTGCCGGTTGACACTTAAATGAACCTAAAAAGACTCGATTAAAGAAAGAAAAACACACGAAAAACACGACAAAAATACAACAAACACGAGTGCCCGACTGCTCTCAGGCTTTCTCGCAGCCTGGGAGCGCGCGGGCACATGGGCGTCGGCTTGTTGGCGAATGCGGCAACGGACTGGGTGAGAATTTGCGGCCTCGCGTATCGTCTCTCGCACGATTGCGCGGTGTTGAAGGGCTTGTCGCGCGATCGTGAGTGGATGTTGGCTGGCGAGTACAGGGGAGCTAGGTGCGGGCTTCTCGCGAGCTGCATGTGGCCAGCAAGTGTCGGATGATGGTGTGGAAAGGCTCAGACGGCTTGTCTTTTCAAACTTTGCAATATGGACATAAACAACATCAAAAGAGGAAAAAAAAAAGCAAAACACAAAACGTACAACTTGAACAAAAATCACAAAACATAATAAAGTGAATCGGACGACACTAAAACAAACTTAAAAATACTCGACTAAGGCACGAAAAACACACCGAAGATCTTTAAGTGAGTTAAACAAGCTAGCACCTTTCAAAACTCTAAGATTAGTTTCTGTAGGGAACATTCTAGTTTCTAGCTTCATTTTAGGCCTCACTCGCCATAAACTTTGATGTATATACACTCCTAAGGTAATATATACTTTTATCAATATATACAACTTTAATTATAGATTCATGACTAATTCTCACATAACATATATTATTTTAGATGAGTTTTGCCACTTTAGTCGTCACGCATTTATTTCAATGTAGCATTTTGTTTACTTTTGAATATTTTAGTTGTTTATAGCCAAAAAAAAAATAAAATAATAAATAAATAAAAAAAAAGAAGCAGAAGAAGAAGAAGAAGAAAGGGTTAGCAAATATGGATATGAACTTCCACGTCCGGATTACTTGAAAATTGTACATGTACAAAATAAAAATATATTTGGAATGCAAGTAAATTTTTCGAATTTCACATTTCAAAAATGAAAAAAGAAAAAAGAAAAAAGAAAAAAGAAAAATCTGGGTATTCAATGGAGATAATTGACTATATCATACTAAAGTAAGTAAAACAACTTTTACCTAGAGTAAAAGACAAAAAGTTAAAAAAATTGCGGTTGCAAAAGTGAATTTTATTTCGTAGTTCAATTAGGCGTGCCAAATTTTTTAAAAATGAATTTTATTTCGAAGTCTCATCGGGCGTGTCAAATTTGTAACAACAGATTTTATGAAAAAACATAAAACTTTTGCACAACTTGATTTTATTTCGACAAAACAATTTTGCGGGTGCAACCTGTATTTATCTCCTCTGATTCTTCTCTTTATGGATTTGAGCTTGAGATCTTGAAAAAAGGATTTGACGATTGAATTTCCTTCGGGTTTGATCTTGAGTTTCTCTAACATTAATTTTGAGGTCGAATGACTTATTCCCATATTAAATGTTAGGACTTAACTTGATTAATGAAGACTTCTTGGACGACTTGTTTCTTTGATCTTCTTGAAAGACAGATTTTGACTTGAATAACATTGACCCGAGGACTTGATAGTTTTTTCCTGGATCAAACGTTATGTTGGTTAAACTTTTCAATGAATGTGCTTGAATGTTTCTTGAACGTCATTGATGTTCTTGGATTGATTTGAGACGGGTGAATGTCGTCTCTTTACTTCTTGGAGAAGAGTCGTTGCCTCTTTTNNNTTTTTTTTTTTTTTTCCTTGGCCTTCTTCTCCATTGAGCGTACTTCGGCGGCTAGGATGCTTGATTCTGAATTGAACGTTAATCTTCAACTTGAGTGCCCTTGGATCTTCGAGAATGCCTTCAAATCTTCAAGAACACCTTCGAATCTTCAAGAAAGTTCTTGAGAAGTCTTGAATTTGAGATTTGAATTATGAGGTGTTGATTTGTGAGGTGTTCTCGAAGATCTAAGGGAACTCAAGTTGAAGATCGGAGTTCAATTTAGAATCAAGCATCCCAACCGTCGAATTTTACGAAAATCATAAAAGTTTTGTACATTTTATTCAAAACAGGTCTCCATGCATCTTCAAAGATTTTAAACTTCATTTGAAGAGAAGAGATGAGAGGTAGAGATGGTTCCACTGGGCATGCCAATTTTTATTTTTATTTTTTTATTTTTATTATTATTATTTTTTTTTTACGAAACGATAGAAATATTATAAATCAAAACGCACAAATGTGCAAAGACAGCCCACAGCTGAGAGATACAACCATCGACTGAAAAAGTGAAAGGACAGGTACGAGACCGCCTAGATCCTCCGCTAGCCAAGCTAGAAAATAAAAAAAGACTCAAACACAACCGACAAACAACACAAACAACAAAACACACTAAACACAAAGCTCCCCACATGAGAATATGGAACGCTCCCCAACGGGAGAATACCCGACACAGTCGGGTTCACACAAAACAGGGGCCAACGGCCCCAACCAAAAACACTGACATAGCACAACGCAGACCAAATGGTCCATACATAACACCAACTAAGCCAACACAAGCACAGAACATAAAAAAACTAAACAAACAGCAAAAGGCCCTTCTTTAACAATCAATCAGGCGCAGCCAGCAGTGAACAATCGACACAAGAAAGATACCAACCGACGAAACACTACCGAAACTGCCAAAATGGCTATACAATAGCCAACATCGAGTCCCGTATCAATCCCCGAACCGACCCATCACCGACCGAGAGGAAGACAAACCGCCCCCACACCAGCCCCGGTTCGAACCCGTCTAACACCACTAGACAAGCACGAAGGAACCGGGACCCCCATCGCCTAACATCACTAGGTAAGTGTTGGAATATCACTTGTGAGTTGTCCCACATTGATTCTATAGGGAAAATGAGTCTAGTATATAAGCCTAGTGGGCTACTCCTCCCATCACCAATTGGTTTTGGGATGGAACCTCACTATGGTGCACCTAGACTCACCCTCTTATGGTGCGCTTCATCTAGTGGGACCGCACTCTCTTCCCCCATTCTAACATGGTATCAGAGCGGGCCTGTCCTAGGACCTGCAATGACTCTCTGTACCCGACCTGCTCTGGGCTTGGGCTTATCTCTCTATCCGGCCTGCGATGTGGGCTTGGGCTTACGAAGGACTCACAAGTGAGGGGGCGTGTTGGAATATCACTTGTGAGTTGTCCCATATTGATTCTATAGGGAAAATGAGTCTAGTATATAAGCCTAGTGGGCTACTCCTCCCATCACCAATTGGTTTTGGGATGGAACCTCACTAAGGTGCATCTAGGCTCACCCTCTTACGGTGCGCCTTCATCTGGTGGGACCACACTCTCTTCCCCCATTATAACAGTAAGACATGCCAAATTTATAACAATGAATTTTATTTCAAAGTCCCACTGGGCGTGCCAAATTGGTAACAACGAATTTTATGAACATCATAAAACTTTTGTACATTTTCTTCAAAGAGGTCTTCATGCATATTCAAAGATTTTTAAACTTGATTTTAAGTGGAGAGATGAGAGGTAGAGATGGTCCCACTGGGTGTGTCAAATTTGTGGCGACGAATTCTATGAAAATCATAAAAACTTTTGTACATTTTCTTCAAAGAGGTCTTCATGCATCTTCAAAGAATTTTGAACTTGATTTGAAGAGAAGAGATGAGAGGTAGATAATGTCCCATTGGGCGTGCCAAATTTGTAATAACAAATTTTATGAAAATCACAAAACTTTTATACAACTTGATTTTATTTCGATCGAACGATATTGTGGGTACAATCTCTATATGTCTCATTTGATTTTTCTCTTCATGGATTTGGTCTTGATATCTTGAAGATGGATTTGACGGTTGAATCTCCTTCGGGCTTGATCTTGAATTTCTTTAACATTAATTCAGGGTCGAATGACTTATTATCGTACTAAATGTTAAGACTTGACTTGATTGATGAATATTTCTTGGAGGATTTGTTTCTTTTATTTTATTAAAAGGTGGATTTTGACTTGAATAACATTGACTCGATGGCTTGATAGCTTTTGCCAGGTCAAATGTTATTGTGGTTGAACTTCTCGATAAATGCGACTTGAATGTTGTTTGAACGTCGTTAATATAATTTGAGATGAAGAACCGCAATCACCTTTTCCCCTTCTTGGTCTTCATCTCCATTGAGCATACTTCGGAGGTTAGGAGGCTTGATCCGGATTGAATGCCTATCTTCATTTCGGAGGTTAGGAGGCTTGATCCGGATTGAACGCCTATTTTCAATTTCGATGCCCTTCGATATTTAAGAACTTCTTCAAATCTTCAATAATTCAAGATAATTCTTGACACCTTTTAAAGTTGAGACTTTGATTTATGAGGTGTGATTCGTGGCTTTGAAGAGAGCCTTATTTATAGATTTGTTTGGTTCTTCATGATTTGGTATAATCTCTTTTCTTATTCTAAGATTTTTCTCATCATCTTAAGATTTGACTCTGTGGAAGAAATATTTACTTTATTAATTGAATATCTTATTTATCTTGAATTTATGTTCAAAAGTAAATAAAGATACTAATTAATAAAATATTAAAATTTCGATATCTATGGTGGTAAAGTTGTCTTGTACACACCCACGCACACTATATATACCAAACCTCTCGTCTCTTCATATGTCTACTTGTCCTAGCTAGTTTCTTAAGTTATAGTAACAATAATAGTATAAATACAATAAACAATTATATATATATATATAGCTTATAATTACATTCCATTTTAATGGAAAGAGTAGCTTTCTTTCTCATCATCATCATCATCATCACCTTCATCTCCATCCATGGTGTACCAGCCAGCCCGAAAGCCTGCACAAAAGTGTCGACCTTGTTCGTCTTTGGCGACTCGTATTTGGATGCCGGAAATAACAACTACATAAATACGAGCGCCTTCGACCAGGCCAATTTTCAGCCATATGGCGAGAACTTTGCCAATGGCCCGACCGGGAGATTCTCGGACGGTCGTATAATACACGATTTCATCGGTATATTAGTTGATTAGTTATATATATATATATATATATGTTTTTTTTTTAATGAACCTAATTGAGCATTTGCTTTCTATCTAAGGGGTATAGATTCTTTTTCTATACTTATGTTCTAATTTTTGTTTCGCTTCGTTGGATGATTGACGCGTATACAACTGACACATACATTTATCAAACAGAGTGAAATATAAAATTAAACATGAATTTAAAATAGAAAATTCAATTCCATCTAAGGGAACATGATCTAGGGTTTCCTAATTCCTTTATTTTTTTTTCAAATAATGGTAATTAATTATGTCTTGACTTATTGCCTATTGCGAGGTGATATATAGCTGAGTATGCAAAATTGGAAGGTTTAATTCCAATATATCTAAATAAGAATCGCAGTGGGACCCAAAATTATATTGGAATGAACTTTGCATCAGCTGGAGCTGGTGCCTTAACAGAGACTTTGCAAGGCTTTGTATGTTTTTTTTTTCTACTCTCTAATGTTATTTCACTTAATTTTTCAGGTACATTAAATAATTTTTTTTTAATTGTTTGTTTATTATCCAGTCAATTTACACATTGCTGGAAAAATTATTTATTTAAAAAGTATACGTGTACAACTATATATGAAATTGGTTCGTGTTTTTTTTAATATAACTTTATATTTAAAGATACTACAAATAAAATATGATATTTCATATGCGTATGCATTTGTTTTGTAAATTTAAATTTCATTTAATTATTTTATTTTTTATATAAAAAAAAAATTATGATGTGATGAATAAATTAATTTTATAGAAAAATAATAATAATAATAATAATAATAATAATAATAATAATAATAATAATAATAATAATAATAAAAATAATAATAATAATTTGCAGGTGATTGATCTCAAAACACAACTAAAATACTATAAAAAGGAAGTTCATCATCTGAAAGGCGCGTTTGGTGGAGCCAAAGCTGAAAGTGTGATATCAAATGCTATCCACATGATGAGCATTGGCTCAAGTGATTACATCAGTCCTTTCCTGCTAAATGATTCCTTTTTGCATTCTTTTTGTCAACCTTCTGATTACGTGAATTTGGTGATTGCAAACATATCAGAGGCGATTCAAGTAAGTTTAAATTTGGTGATTCTTTTTTTGCATTCTTTTTGTCAACCTATTTTAGGCTGTGTGTTGGTTCTAGGCTGGCTCGGGCTAGCTATCTGCCTATGGGGCTAGTCCGATCCTCCCAACTAGATTCAACTGAGTAACTGACCTGTTCGGTTGTTTAGCTGTTCTCTAGTATGTAATTATATGTGTTTTTATTCTAATGGAGGGGAGAAATATATATGTGCAGACAATATATGCAAATGGAGGGAGAAATGTTGTGCTTATGAATATGGGACCATTGGGCTGTTTGCCAGGCATGAAAATCATCAAGAATGTAAACAAATACGAAAACAAGTGCATGACTGAGGCCTTAGAACTGGGTAAACTACACAATACCGCTTTGGAGACGAAGCTAATACCAAGCCTAAAAAAATTGCCCAAACTCAAATTGCTTGTATATGACTTCCAAAGTGATATTTCCAACATGATCGCTGAGCCAAAAAAATATGGTACGTACTAAATATATATTTGTGTACAAACTCTTGAAAACACTACAAGAAAAACTGCATTTGGCGACGCTTATTTTTTTGTTTACTGACGTTTATTTTTTTCTGACATCAAATTTAGCAACACAACTCGCCAATAAGCGTCATTAATAAGCGTCGCCAAATACGCTTATTTTTTTCTGACATCAAATTTAGCAACACAACTCGCCAATAAGCATCATTAATAAGCGTCGCCAAATGCAGTTTTTCTTGTAGTGAAAAATGATGTGTTCTTATTATTATTATTATTATTATTATTAATAATAATAATAATTTTCATTTTATTTTTCGATATTTTTTAAAAATAGAGGTGGAGAAGTTGTTTCTGAAAAAAGAAAAAAAAGAATAATTTATTTGAGATTGTGGGATATAAGATTTTTTTTTTTTTTTTTTTTTTTTT